ATGTACAAATGTGCTTTACACCACTGATCTATGTATGGATTGTGATGAGTTGTATGAGCCCCTAATAAAATCATTTAAAAATAAATAAATACAGGCATGTACACATGTAAATATATTTATATATGATGATGGAAAATAGATCTATGGGCATATATTTATAGATTTAGTATTAAGATAGCACATAGACATTGGGCCTCCACTCAAGTACTTCATCATTGCAAGGACACTTTGTTCATTTAAATTGTAATTCCATGATGCTCACCTTCCCGACATGATGGCTCAAAAGGGTGCATAAGCAAATGTGGTAAAGAAAGCTCATGGTGTCCAGCTATTAAACGATAGTGTCTGGGGGCTTAAAAATTTGACAAATTAGCGGCCATCTAGCTGAAAAGCAACAAAGCCCACATGGAAGAAGCACACCAGCATGTGTGATCATGAGGTGTCAATAGGATCAGGTTTCAGGCATCGAAGAACAAAAAATCCTATCATAGAGAAAGAGAGGGAGAGCGGAGTGGGGACCTAAACCCATCTGTAGGCAACTGGGCATCCCCTTACTTAAGGGTGGCGGTGAGGAGAGGAGTCAGTCAGCCTACAGTGTAGCAACGATGAAACATAGAACTTTCTTCTAGTTCTTTAATGCTTCCTCCCCCCACTATCATGATCCCAATTCTACCTTACAAATTGGGCTAGACAAGAGGATGCACACTGGTACATATAGAAACTGGAAACAGTGGGTATCCAGGACAGATGAACCCCTCAGGACCAGTGGTGAGAGTGGCGATACTGGTAGGGTGGAGGGAAGGTGGGGTTGAAAGGGGGAATGGATTACACAGATCTAGATATAACCCCCTCCCTGTGGGACAGACAACAGAAAAGTGGGTAAAGGGAGACGTCGGACAGTGTAATACATGACAAAATAATAATTTATAAATTATCAAGGGTTCATGGGGGGAGTAGAAAATGAGGAGCTAATACCAAGGGCTCAAGTAGAAAGCAAATGTTTTGAGAATGATATTGGCAACAGATGTACAAATGTACTCGACACAATGGATGTATGTATGTATTTTGATAAGAGTTATGAGAGCCCCCGCCAAAAATGATTTAATAAAAACTCATACCCTTTAAAAGAAATTAATCTGCTCTGCTGGAAAGTAAAAGGTTGGCAATTCAGAACTTTCTAGGGGTGCCATAGCCCCTGGAAACCCTATGGAGCACAGTTCTTCCTGGACAAATGTGAGGTCACCAAGAGTCAGAATCAAATCATTGGCAATGGGTATGTATTTTAAGGGAGGAACGGGTGGCAGTGTCCACTATCTTAGACCAAAGATCAAAGTTTCTAAGATTAAAAATTGATCAGGATCACAGGTCATAGAAAACAATGTCAAAGCAGGAAAGAAGTCAAATAAGGTTACATTGACCTATCAAAGGAGAGTGACATTTGAAGCAATCAAACAAAGCTGAATAGTAGGTATATTAGTGGGTCAGTGGGAAATAAAAAAACGAAGTAAATCATCCAAATTAGCAATGAAATTTAGGAAAATTTTTGGAGAATAAGTCAGAGGTACAAGAGATTAATCCAAATAGATTTTATAGTCAAGTCGGCTTTCAAGGCTATGCCAGAGGCATTATATCTGTCCTTAAGACACCCGTTCAATGCTGTTAATTATCAATGCATTCAAATAGTAATTTTAAATGTAGTGTGGGTGGACCTCAGCAGCATCATTTCCACACTCTTAGCAATATTATATTCATCTTTTCAATGGTAGTAATTATTGTGGCAATCAGAGTCACGAGGATACAAGCAGTGGATCACAGGGTGCTTCTTCAGGCCCGGTTCTTTGCAGGCAGCTAGAGTCTTTTCCCATCACATGACTGCAAGAAGGGTGTGCAGCTGGCAGCTCCCCTCCTTGGACTTCACAGGGGAGAAGGCGAATAAAACGCAACATCAGCTCAAGGACAGTTCCTATGAGGCAGAGGTCAGACATACCGCCATCTTCCAGTTTTCTTCATTAATTCTGACACCAATCATCCCTTCCATAACACTCTATTTTTCTGATGGGTTTAATCATTTGTTGAAATGGCCATATGGAACTCACTGACCAGACTCACAATTGAGCTTCACTGATTTTGTTTCTCTAGAGAACCCAGCTTATGGCACGTGGGCAATATAAATTCTTCACTCTGCAAATTCCTAAGCAATGTAGAAGAGAATACACTATGAATTACTTCCTTAGAAAATGATTTCATATTCAACAGCTTACATAGATCCTTGAATGGACTTTGAAGTTTTCTTCAGTTCCACTGATAAGCAAAGTGAGTCCTGAACTGACACCATGTCCCATTAGAAAATCTGGCACATAGACATTCCTTGAAGGTCAAGGACCATTAGTTATCAGAGAAATATAAGTAAAATCACAGTGACACACAGCTTTATCCTGGCTTGAATGGCTATAGCCCATACAGATAATAAGTGTTGTGAGGGTTCTAAGTGAATAGTAAATGAATGTGGATAGAGATAGCAAGAATGACACAATGTGAAGAATTTCACCAAGATCACTGAATCACGCGTGTAGAAATAGTTGAGTGGGTTTATGTTTTGCTATGTGTATCTTTTCACAAAAATAAAACAAATTTTAATATGATTTTTTTATATGCTGAGAACACTGGAACCCTCATACATGCCATTTTGGAAAAGCAGTGGTATACGTTAAACATAGATTAAGCATATTCTCAAGAGAAATGGATATGTATGCTGATACAAATCTTGTAAAAGAATGTGCCTTAAAAGTATTATTGATTATACTCAAAAAAGTGGAAACAAGGTGGGGAAATGAACAGATACCAAGGGCACAATAGAAAGCAAATGTCTAGAAAAGAATGAGGGCAACATATGTACAAACATGCCTGATTCAAATGATGTGTGGCTTGTGACAAGAGTTGTATGAGACCCCAATAAAATGATTTTTTTTTAAAAAGTGGAAACAACCCTAAGCATCTATCAACTGATCAAAGTAGGAGGAAAACTGGGATATCCGTACGACATAGTAAGGTGTTTTCATGCAAATAACACACTTGTTCGTCAACTGCTTCCTAGTCTTGGGAGATATTTACATGTGAGATGCTAATTTTATCAGAAATGTGTACAACAAAACTCAGTAAAGCAGAAAAATACATACTGGGGAGAGGGAGTGCGCTTGGCAAGCAAACATAAAAAGCACTTGTATTTTGTGTAAAAATGCAGTACTTGGTAATAATAAGAAATGATATATTGTACATAATTTGACATAGCTAAATATTGAATCTTTAATGAAAAAATTCACAAAAGACCACATATTGTATGATTTTATTTATATGAAGTGTCCATAATAAGAAACTATGTATCAACAGAAATGGGACTCACAGATTTTAAGGACTGAAGGGTGATAGTTAAGGAGTATAAAATTTGGTTTTGAATGATTAAAATAATATATTTTCATCATAGATACTAGTGATTATATAACACTGTGTATATATTAACAACCACTGGATGGTACACTGTAAATTGATAAATTGTTGGTATGTGAGTAATATGTCCATAAAGATTTCACCTGAAACAGCCTTTAACATTTAATGTATGTCAAAAAATGCTGATGCAATTCTACACTTATTTTCTTTAATTCTTGTGTCACAGGATCTGCAATCACAAGTGGCCGTATCCTTACCTCTGTTCTAAAATCTATTCTATAACAGAGGCAACATGCAAATGCTAAGTTACAGACTTTTAGCTGTGTGGGAGCATTCATGATGAGTGGTACTAAGGGCACTCCTAAAACATAGGGTCAACGTACCCTTTGCTTTTATCACTTGGCACCCACTTTCTGCAACCGTGTAATGTGTTTACTTTGACCTGTGAGAGTTGAATTTTAACTTCTTAATTGATTTATCCTAGGATTTAAGCATGAGCCATGACAGAGGGGAGCAGCCATTTGAAAGGAGGATTTTATTTAACCAAGATGTGTATGAAATGGATCTCAGTTCTTCTGCTGATTCAACTGAGTTGTTGCTTCAACTGTGGAACTTGTGGGAAAGTGCTGGTGTGGCCAACAGAATACAGCCATTGGCTCAATATCAAGACAATACTGGATGAACTTATTCAGAGGGGCCATGAGGTGACTGTTCTAGTCTCGTCGTCTTCCATTCTTATTGATTCCAACAAACCATCTTCTATCAAATTTGAGGTTTATCCTACAGCTCTTACTAAAGATGAGATGGAGCTTTTATTCATGACATGGATTAAGAAATGGACATATGAGGCACCAAAAGATTCATTTTTTGCATATTTTTCAGTAATACAAGAATCTATTTGGGGATATTCTGATATTATTTTAAGGCTCTGTAAAGATGTAGTTTTGAACAAGAAACTTATGGTGAAACTACAAGAATCAAAGTTTGATGTCTTGTTTGCAGATGCCGTCAGTCCTTGTGGTGAACTGCAAGCTGAGCTGCTTAATATACCCTTTTTGTACACTGTCCGGTTCACTACTGGCTATTCATATGAAAAGTACAGTGGAGGACTCCTAACGCCTCCTTCTTACGTACCTGTTATTTTGTCAGAATTACAGGATCGCATGACGTTCATGGAGAGGGTAAAAAATATGATATATGTGCTTTACTTTGACTTTTGGTTCCAGCAAGTGAATGAGAAAAAGTGGGATCAATTTTACAGTGAAGTACTAGGTAAGTCATGTTTTTATAAGTACACTACCGCTCCAACTTTCCTTGTGCCTTTACAGGTGAATTTGTGTAAGTAAAAAGACAGAGGAATATAATTTTTGTTAGGAGAAAATGTGAAAAGATGTATCAATCTTACAAATATTATGGAAATGTTTTCATTGTAGAATTAGTTAGAAGAATCCTGTGAGCCATGGACCAGGAAACTCCAGGAAGTCAGAAACTGCAAAATAAACATACTTAAAATTTCTTTAATTAATTATATATCCATTTCATTAGTCTTTTCACCTTTATAAAACTCAATGAAGTGATGGATGAACAGAGATATGTAGATTAAAGTGTGAGACTTGCTTGTAGCATAAACATTTATGGACCATCAATACGATTATTTTTTGTGCTGCTCAGTTTCCCTATTTACTAACAAAAGATTTTCAGCATTACCTCCTCAAGATTCTGTAATGAGTGGTAATCCTTCAGACTCAAAAAAGTATAATTTATGTCTTCAATATTTTATTGATCTTCTAGCTAAATAGTCATCATCAAAATAATGTAATTATGAATAAATTTGTTTCATGAACCTTAAGGTTTGTAACAATTCCACATTTCTTTATTATATACTTGTCAGTCATCTTTCTTACAGGCCTATGATACGGTTGGATGGTTAACATACAAATTACTAGTCTGGATCTTTCAAAAACTATGTCTATTTGTGAAGTGTCAAAACTCAATGGGCATAATTTTCCATGCTTTTAAAATTTTCAGCTCATAATTGCAAATAGTTTTTTTTAATGATAAAATATTGTTCAGCTCTTAAATTGTCTCAAATGCCCTAGGATGGTACTAGGAATTGAAGGACATTGACAAAACTTGTAGTTTGGTTGGAAAACCAAGGGTCAAGGGCCTGCCTTGCTAAACTACTGGAAACTACCAGAAACTGGAGAGTATTTCTGCAAAAAGTATCTTCATGGGGAAGCTACTTGAGAGGACGGCAATGAAGCTGCAGTTAGGGGAGAGGGGCATGTCTGATCAGAGCAAATGGGAACATTTGGGGAGGAAGAGAGAGTAGAGCCTGGTAGGGATTCAGCAAGGGCATTGTAACCAAGAGAAATCACTGAAACCCAAATGAAGGCTGACCAT